CTCCCCCCCCCCCCCCCCGCACACTTCCACATGGGCCAGACGCCGGGTTTCTCCGCCGCCAGACTGTGCGGTGGTACGCCGGGAACCTCCCCCCCCCCCAGCCTGGGGGATGCCCGGTCGACCGAAAACACTGCGTTCAAAGCGTTCGCAGTTGACTCTCCCAGAAGGTTTGGGCGGGTTTGCTTCCATTCGGGGGGAAATGGTGTGGCATTACCCCCCCTTACCCCCCCCCCCGCCCAAGAAGTCCTTCCGTTTTTGCGAAAAGTTTGGTCGAAACAGTTGCCTTGGAGCATCTTTCTCACGGTTGCATAGCTAAAATCATCGGCATGGGTTTTACAGCTGCCCAAGATCTCATACTACTTCCGTTGCGTTGGGAGTCGGCCGGGGTTTTTTGGCTATGGGTGGACAAGTCTTAGTCCACCCTTCTAGTATGCCACGCCACGAAGAGGCAAACCCCATGTGGACGCCCCCAACTGTTCCCCCGGAGACGCCCCCAACTGACGCCGGCCTATTTATCTCTTCATCAACCATTTATGTGCGACCTTAGAGGTCAGCACGAGCTAGACGCGATCAGCCTTAGTAAGAGGGTCATGTTTGACAACAATGCATGGTGCTACAAACTAGAGATGGGATTCGAACCCTGATCATGCAGTAGACTGTCCAGCATGGTAGCTTGCGGCTAGGTGGAATGGGTCCCTATCGTAGGGGTAATAAGAATCCTGCAGGGCTACACACACGCCATAAGCAGACCTCAGTAACAACTAAAGTTTGGGTTCGTAACAGCTAAAGTTTGGGTTTGGTAACAACTAAAGTTTAGGTTCAGTAACAACTAAAGTTTGGGTTCGGTAACAACTAAAGTTTGGGTTCGGTACCAACTAAAGTTTGGGTTCGTAACAACACAAGTTTGGGTTCGTAACAACTAAAGTTTGGGTTCAGTAACAACTCAAGTTTTCGTTCGGAAACAACTCAAATTTGGGTTCGTAACAACTCAAGTTTGGGTTCAGTAACAACTCAAGTTTTCGTTCGGAAACAACTCAAATTTGGGTTCGTAACAACTCAAGTTTGGGTTCGTAACAACTCAAGTTAGGGTTCGTAACAACTCAAGTTTTCGTTCGGAAACAACTCAAATTTGGGTTCGTAACAACTCAAGTTTGGGTTCAGTAACAACTCAAGTTTTCGTTCGGAAACAACTCAAATTTGGGTTCGTAACAACTCAAGTTTGGGTTCGTAACAACTTCAGTTTAGGTTCGGAAACAACTCAAATTTGGGTTCGTAACAACTCAAGGTTGGGTTCAGTAACAACTCAAGTTTTTTTTCGGAAACAACTCAAGTTTGGGTTCGTAACAACTTCAGTTTAGGTTCGGAAACAACTCAAATTTGGGTTCGTAACAACTCAAGTTTGGGTTCGTAACAACTTCAGTTTGGGTTCGGAAATCTCCGCTGTTCCAAAAGTTAAATTTATTTGGTTTTAATTTAAATAACATAAACATATATTAGAACATTTATTATAAACATAAGAGTTTCTATAGAAATTAACCGCAACAACTTATTTTATGTTCTATAGTTATCGTAGTGCACGGGGGTTTATTTAACTAACATAAACATATATTAGAACATTTATTATAAACATAAGAGTTTCTATAGAAATTAACCGCAACAACTTATTTTATGTTCTATAGTTATCGTAGTGCACGGGGGTTTATTTAAATAACATAAACATATATTAGAACATTTATTATAAACATAAGAGTTTCTATAGAAATTAACCGCAACAACTTATTTCATGTTCTATATTCATCGTAGTGCACGGGGGTTTATTTAAATAACATAAACATATATTAGAACATTTATTATAAACATAAGAGTTTCTATAGAAACTAACCGCAACAACTTATTTTATGTTCTATAGTTATCGTAGTGCACGGGAATTTATTTAAATAAAATTTAATGAAAATAATAAAACATATCTTTTTATTGGGTTTAATGTCTATGCTTATTAAAAGGACGATTCGAAATAGTTTATTATTACATTTAAATATCAATTCTTTCAACAAAAAGTGCTCACTGAGACTCCTCGTACACATGTGTATTTGATTTACACACTACTCTACTAACGCGTTCATCATTCTAGCTATTATCCTTCACTGCCTTCATTATTTCTGGTGGACAGCTCAATTTTCTTTGAATAACGCCCTCTCCGAGAATGTTCACAGAATGTTTGACCATGCCGTAATGTGGTCGCTGGCCGCCTGTACTTATTGACCAAGTTTAGTATGCTTACATGTTGTCGTTAATGGACATGAGGCAAGGGTGGGTCGTGGCAGCAACGCCGGTACGAAGCACCCGTTCGGCGCCCCCTTCGCTGTCCTTGCATGGCTCCGCTCTTTTTCCGATTACGACTTAAGCTATGGAGCACGTGTTATGATGTTATTACATGTAACTAACCATACACATTTTAACATGCACACTAATATAGACTCTTTAGTTTTTCTACGTGACTTTGTTCCATTTGTATTTATAAATTTATTTCCACGACCGTTCGGATGGTCCCAACCCCAGTGTTAGTATCCAAATTAAGAATGCAACTTTCATTGTATGAAAACTGATCGTATGAAAAGCGATTGTACGAAAAGTTACAATACCGTATCTCGACCCCGGACCCGAGGTTCACACTTTATATGATAAAATTTAAATATTACTGGGCGCTAGGACACAGTTAGCACACCCGAAAGGCCAGGGTTGGTGGCTGCCCTTGCCGAGGATTCTTGTCATGCAGCCTATGCAACCGTTTCGTTCCAGCTACGATGTTACCTTAACCTATCACTATCTTTCACGGAATAAGAGGGCGTTTGAATGAACATCAATAACAGTATCAGGACTTTATTTCTTTTTGGACCAAGCTGATGCCTCTCCTTCCAATGATCTCTCGTCGTATTGAGGCAAACGATTGATGTCTCTCATTCCAGTGATCCTGTTAAGTTTGTTCACACATTCATTGTGCAGAGTTAGTGGTTAAGTTGACATGACATGTTTCAATCTATTATGTTAAAGGAACCATGTCCAAATGCCTGTCAACATAGCAGAGCCATTTCTGCATCCCTAATCAAATAGCCGAGTAATGTCTGAATCCCTGTCAACATAGCAGGGTCATGTCTGAATCCCTGTCAACATAGAAGGGTCATGTCTGAATCCCTGTCAACATAGAAGGGTCATGTCTGAATCCCTGTCAACATAGCAGGGTCATGTCTGAATCCCTGTCAACATAGCAGGGTCACGTCTGAATCCCTGTCAACATAGAAGGGTCATGTCTGAATCCCTGTCAACATAGAAGGGTCATGTCTGAATCCCTGTCAACATAGCAGGGTCATGTCTGAATCCCTGTCAACATAGAAGGGTCATGTCTGAATCCCTGTCAACATAGAAGGGTCATGTCTGAATCCCTGTCAACATAGCAGGGTCACGTCTGAATCCCTGTCAACATAGAAGGGTCACGTCTGAATCCCTGTCAACATAGAAGGGTCATGTCTGAATCCCTGTCAACATAGCAGGGTCACGTCTGAATCCCTGTCAACATAGCAGGGTCACGTCTGAATCCCTGTCAACATAGCAGGGTCACGTCTGAATCCCTGTCAACGTAGCAGGGTCACGTCTGAATCCCTGTCAACATAGCAGGGTCATGTCTGAATCCCTGTCAACGTAGCAGGGTCACGTCTGAATCCCTGTCAACGTAGCAGGGTCACGTCTGAATCCCTGTCAACGTAGCAGGGTCATGTCTGAATCCCTGTCAACGTAGCAGGGTCACGTCTGAATCCCTGTCAACATAGCAGGGTCACGTCTGAATCCCTGTCAACGTAGCAGGGTCACGTCTGAATCCCTGTCAACGTAGCAGGGTCATGTCTGAATATCAGTCAACATAAAAGCAAACAAAACTAATATTATATGTAAACTCATTTTATTTCAATCATAACAGTTAACATAAGGCTTTGTTTTAAAAAAAGAGCAAGAAAAACACACTTAACATAGCTTATGGCAATGTTTCCTTATGCCACTAATATGTCATCTGTTGGCAATGTTTTCTTATGCCACTAATAATGTCATCTGTATCTTTGGCACATGCAATCAGTTATATTCCAGGCAATATCTCCGTAACTCATTTTAAATGGTGCATTATAACCTTTTGTAACAAATCAAATTTATTAATAATATGGCGGTTATAAATTTTAGGTTCAATTCTCATTATGTGCACCGACATTCATCAGCACTCATTTGCAAATTGAAACATCTTTAATTGTACAGACGGATAGACATTAGAAATTGTTATATTCCCCATACACAAAGTCTGAGGATAACTTTGCTATCTCTGGAGAAAGAATATTGTTAATGATATATTTTTAAATTTTTACATCACATAATCGAGGACAGACAAAAAACTTTCATAAAATTGTAGTTAATCCTACAGATAAAATTTAATTCTAACATGATATATTTTGACGTAAGCTCTGAGAGGGATCTCTAAAAAAAATACATTTTAAAATAAATTTAAAAAATGGTTATGTCTGGATCAGTTAAGAGGTGAGACTTAATTTCTTGTCTTCTTTTCTTGATTAAATAATTCTGTGGACAGTAAAGTTGAATAAAGAAGTGTGGACAAACCAGTATCATTTTATTGCCGGCTGCAGTCACATTTGACTGAAAACATTATATACTGATCGTTAATGACTCGCCTCCTAGACACAAGTTTCATTGCCAGCTTGAGGTTTTTAAATAGAAAAAGACTATGATAGTCACCGTAGGTTACAATGCATACATGGAATCTGATTCTCTCATAACTAAACAAGCAAATATCTTATAGTTAGAGACACTGGTGCTGCTCGCTTGTTTGAAAAAAATTAATTGCTTTATACATTTACTTTTAAAAAAATTTAAATATTCACGAACCCAAATGTGAAATAGTCTAGTCCAAAATGATATTTCTTTAAATTTTAGATCCAATTATTTAAAACATACATGTTAATATCTGGCAACCCAAGCATCTTTATTTGATTGTGATAAATTAAATCTCCTTTAAAGTAAAAGTACTGAAATGTACTATTTACTTAGAGAAAAACACCAATTTCAACAAAGTTGCTTTTGAAGCATTTTAAACTTTAACAGTAAGAGTAAAAAGAAAACCTCTTTGGTTATCAAAGCTTTTATAATAGAGGTAAAAGCGAGCTGGAAGCAATGAAGTTATTCAATACAAAAGAAACAAACAAGTCCGGTTTCTGCCAGTGAAAATATCTTTCATTCAATGCATTCATAAATGATATTAAAAAAAAAAAACAAAAAAAAAACGCAGCTTTAAATTAAAGACACACATCGCACACACATTGATCAGCATTGGAACTTTTCACCACTATTGCATTGCGCCCAACACAAACACACTGACTGAATGTTTTAGTGTTCTTTTTTTCTTTCCACGTGATTCTACTGAAAGACTTCAATTAACAACAATTTACAATGGAGGCGCCCATCCTGTCCATGGTTTCTTTTTGTTGATCACCAAATTGAAAGGCAGCCATTGAAGTGAAGTTTAATTTTTAGTTTTACTATTCTCTAAACAGCCGTGTCTTTAAAAATGTTTTCAAAACTTTGATTTCATCTTAACTTTGGTATCCGCCATGAGAGGTCAAGTCTATTGTTTGTGGCAATGTTCCCTCTAAGGTTTGCTGATTAGTGTGCAAAATCAAACACTTGTGTGCAGAGTTTTAGAGCATCATTTTTTTTGTGTGCAAAATTTTACAGCCCACAAACACAAACTTATATGGAAATTTGCTGTGCAGATACTCAAAACTGATGCGCAGCATCTGTGAGATGGCTGTGCAGCCGCGCAGCTTAAAGGGAACATTGGTTTGTGGGTGTCAACTTTTTTGAAAATACAATTTCTAGATGATGACAAAGAGGAAACTATGGTGGCTACACTAATTTCATCAGGAATACTGTGCCCTTATTTTTTAACAAACTTTATTTAAGCACAAAATATTTAGACAAATTATAATTTTGAGCAAGAAATAGAACACTTTTTATTTGCTTCTGCATTAATATATATTCAAGGTTCCACACATTAATAAAGTCAGGCCTAAAACTGATGACTTATTTCAAACACTATTTTAAAAGTGCTATTTTTATTATTAGTACTTGAAAACAACCCAAACGGACCAGTTTTCCTGTGCTTCCCAATGTGAATTTCCATGGACTGGAAAATGACAGCAGCCGGTTCATAAATATAGCATGACTAATAAAGAACAATTTTAAGTTGGATACCAATCCTTTCTGCTAGTCTGTAACACAAGAAGTTTGAGAAGCACTGTCTAAAACCGTAAAGAAAAAATGATTTCAACAATGCCAAACAAGATAGGTCTTTACGTTAACAATTTTTAAAAATTACTTATTAAAAATTATTAAAAATACAAACTGGTGCTTCAATAACTCAAAAAAAAAAAAAAAATTCTTATAAGAAACGTTCAACAAAACAACTGAATTGGAAACTTCAATACTGTTGGTAAACAAAACAGAACAAAGAAAACACCTCCAAAAAAAAAGAAAGAAGAATATTCTTTTCCCATTACCAGGGAAGTATTGCCTTGACAATGTGGGGCAAGTGTTAGTTCTGATGTATGCAATGATTGTATAAGTTCTAAGAGTAAACCATCAGCTCCCAGCTTATTCGTTGATATCTAATGGAATGGCTACAATTATCACTGCATTGTTATCTAACTTGCACTTTGTCAATTTTCTTAAAACTTCACCATACTTGTTACACACACAACTAGTTTGTGTCTTTAATCTGAAATGAGTTACACATTTCACTTGACTATGATATTCTAAATTTAACAATGAAATTAATTTATCGATAAAATTTACTGCCCTTTCTTTGCTGAATTGTCATCTCATTTTAAGTCCAAAATTCTCCTTTACTATAAATGTATTTTAAATCCAGGTCAAGGTCCCCATGAACAAGCTTTAAAGATATCTAATTAAAATTAATAACCTTAACAGACGTAGCCAGTCATCATTTTTGAAGAAAATGTTTATATCGCAACTTGTTTAAAAATGAAATTCATTACTAAGTGCATGCACTTTCTATTCTTGGTAACAGAACAAACACTAAAAAAAATGTCTACTTCTCAAGCACTTGGCTCAGAGATTAAGTTGTAAAGTTTGGACGCCTGATAGACAACATCTTCATCTTCATGTCTCGTCAGGCGGAACACCTTGCTACGCAGCGTAGGAAGGCGATCGATGCCGGTCAAGGCCATGTACATTGTTTCTGGGGAGGCAGCCTTCTCATCCACAGGGAGAGAAGCTGCAGTTAGCTGAAGGGTGTCAATTACAGTGTGTATATTGGCAATCAATGTGACAGCTCTCAAGATAAGATCATTTGCTGTCGGTCTGTCAAGAAACTCTATCAGGTTGGGTGGAGCCTGAAATATAGAAGAGCACATTAGAAAGACAACTGATTAACTCTGTCCCCATACCAACAAAAACAAAGTAAAGAAATAAATTATTTTAAATCCATTATCTGTGGAGATAGTAAGTTTAAACTTCTTCTCTCTCACTGCGGTTCAAACATCTGCCATTAAATATCTTCTAATTAATAACATAAGTCATTTCCATCTAAACGTTTTTGAAATATAAGAAAATTACTCAAAAGACTCTTGGTCTAATAGATATATGGAAATTTTGAAGAAATTAAAAAAAATTTGAATTCCATTCAGTTAAGTAGAAGAATCCATTCAGTTAAGTAGAAGAAAAAATTATATTTTAAAAATTGTATGCAGATTCTGGACCACTAAACCCCCCCCCCTCCCCCCCACCACTCTCTAACAAATTAGTGACACAATTTTAGACACCTTCATAATACATCCTCACAAATTTGTGACTACCTACCCCCTCCCAGATGGCCGACTTTATTTATGGATGGCCCCTTTCTTAAGAATAACTTAATGAACATTTAAAGCAAATAACCTTGGCAGCTAACAGATAAGGCACAACATCTTCGTCCAGTGACAAGTTGACCAAGACTTTTAGGCTCTGGACCTTGGCCATGTGGGTCCCTGATTCAAGCAGCTGGTACAAGGTTGGGATGAGATTCCTGTACATCTTGTGATAGGTTTTCTCAGATGACAAGTTAACAAGCGGGCGGAGGGCAGAAAGGATGATCGCGTCCCCAAAGGGTCTAATCTGGATCAAGTCAATGAGGGCTGGTATGGCATCCTGAGATAGTAAGTCAAGAAATTACAGTTTTTAAAAAAAAAATAATTAAATCTTTTATTCAAGTCTTTGTGTTTTTAAAAAAATTGAGTGGAAAATATAAGAAAAAGAAGATGAGCAAAAACTTAATAGTCACTATTTGGAGAATTTTGAAAAGGCTTTTCATGTTTTAAAATAAACCCTTCGTCTACAAAACAAAATCAAGATTTTTTTAAAAACCAAAGCTAGTACTCTTTTTTACTCTTGTACCGCGCTTCGAGCCTTTGGGGATGAAGCGTGTTTTTGAAATACACTTTATTATTATTATTATTACAACATCCCTAACCCCCAATAACATGAGATGCTGCCAAAATAAAAATGTCAGTGTGATTGATACTAAAATTACATACAAATTACATGGGTTTTTTTTTTTTTTTAGCTGGTGCTACATTTATTTCATTATTCAATTTACTTTAAAAAAACTCTTCAGCTTTTTAAAAAGCTTTAACCTGATTCATTATTTCACCTCAACTATTTTAATGTGTCCCAACCCTTTAATGATAGCTTCAATGGTGCGCTTTCAAGAAAACGAATGAAACAATACTATAAAAGAAACTGACTCCAAGTTCCTCCTGTGTCTTGGGATCCATGCTGAGATTGGTCAACACCTGGCATACAGAGTTCAATGTCTTCTCCGCTTTCCCATCACCTGATGTCACAGCCAGGCAGTACTCTTGCACTTGTTGGACAATAACTTCTGGGCAGCCGCTTTCTCTAATATTTGCCTTAATAAATAAAGAGAGAGAAATTGTATAGCCTGTTTAACAAATATAATTTTAATAACTTACAAATATATACAAAAGACAATTTTTTATGTGAAGCCTTAGGCTGGGGTATCGCGATATTTAAGACCACTGTAATAATAATAATAATGATAAATTTGCTATTTTTTTCTTTTGATTTTTTTAAATTTTAAAGTATTAAAATATGACATTTGCTTATAAACAAAATCCATCATAGCTGTAACTTGGATTTCATATTTAAGTCTCTGTGTATATAAAGTGACAGCAACATATAGTAACATTTAAAACCCAGACAGTAGATGAATTTAATTTGTCCAAAAAAAAATATAGTAGAACTTTATTTTTAAGAGTTGGAGAGAAATATAGCTACATACATGATCAACTTACAATATTGTGAGTAAAAGCAGCAATACGAATCAAACAGTCTAGCACAGCAGAGTGAAGCTCTGGATTTCGCTGACGTAATAGGTCCACAAGGTAAAAAATGTCTGCCTTAGTGATGTTCATGGGTGAGCTTTGACATTTGCTAATCACAGCCGCTACCTCTGCAGGGTCGAATGTCTCAGAGTCTTGAGGAATATCACCTGCTTTGGCGTTCCCTGATTTTGCCTCTGAAGCTGCAGTAAGTATTGGGTCATGTAAAGGGATGACTTGGGCATTGGGCTCATCTTCAAGCTGTTTCTCCCCACTCCCCGGCTGACCGCCAGAGTTGTTAATAGACAGGTCTTGTTCCTGGCTAGCATCTCCATCAGCACTCTTGTCATCATCAGGGATTGCATCTTGACCAAACACAAGAGTATTGTCTTCATCCAGCACTGAGAAGTTGGCTTCATCTTCCTCCTTTCTAGTCGTTTCAGTTCCCTCTTCAAATTTCTCCCCCACATCAGTTGCCAGGTCTTGATCTTCACTAATAGTCATATCTTCGCTCTGAGAGAAACCCAGCTGCTCACTAACAGTTGCTGAATAGATGGAAGTCTCGGATTGCTTGTTAACATTGCGGTCACCAGGCTCTATGACAACCATGCTAGTTTCATTGAGATCTGAAAATGATTCCTCCGGTGGTTTGATATCTTCAGCCACCGGGTCGCCATCCTTTTTTTCCTCAAAAACATTTTGAGCACCTTCCCTGCCCTCTCCGTTGTTTCCTTCATCAGCAGTTTCTTCGAGCCTGTCATCCTCAATAACATCGTAAGAGCTCTCATCGCTGCTCCTGTCAGACTTCTTTGGTTTTTTACCCTCGCCTGGTAATTCAACGTCGACGTCTTTGCCCAGGATTTCAGTTTGGGCAGCGTCTGCTTCTGGCAATCTTGCTTCATCCTCACCGATAATAATAAAGCTGTTCTGATTCTGTCCATCGTAACTCTGGTTGAGGTTACCTCCCCCATTATCAGGCAACTCCTTATTTTCTTCAGGCAAATACCCTTCAAGTTTTTCCTCAAAATTCTCATTTTTCACATTTTGATCAGCAGAATGAGTCTGGACAACAACAAAAGTTATAATATAAAAAAATATTATCGACAGCAATCATCTCTGAGGAGCCTAATAAAATTCAAGCTTATTGATACATAAAAAATCACAGCCTCCATTTATGCAGGTTATGAAATCAGCTGAGGTTGTTAAACTTTGGTAAGAGGCCAAAGAAAAATCTAGTTCACAAATGTGCTGTATTTATTACAGCTTCTCAATATTTATTAAATACCAATGTAGACTATTATAGTTTTCAGACCAGACCATTAACATAGGCTGCAGATTGCCAACCCCAGCTAAAAAGTGACTCTGGTGCTGTTTGAAAAAAAGACATTTGTAAGCATTGTTTTCTCTTCCACCATGTTAGTTTTTCTCTTTAATATAAAGTATTATATTAAATCATTGCCCTTAATCTTAATATCATTCTAATCTCCCTAAAAATAACTAGCTCTTAGAGCAAAAAATATCTAAGATTTATCTTACATACCTTTTTGGCTTCAGATTTTTCCCCAGCTGAAAGCACTTTTCCAGTCTCACCTGATGAGACATTATTACTTGATCTCCGTTGTGTATTGCTGGATTTGCCTGGTGACACAAAATACTGCTTAGCATATGATAATGGGACATTAGGTCATATACCATTTTAAATCTATCATAAGAAACAACATCATTAATTAATAAGAACATTATTTTCATTTATTTAATAATAAGCATTTAAAAAGTTAGACTGAAACAAACTTTTTAAATTGGACATTCCACATAAGACCATTTTTCTATCAGATGGTAGCCGGTGGCTAATTAGATCACAGACTAACAAAAAGTCACAGACAACAGCTAAAGGCTTTATCTTCTATGAAACCCCCAGCAGTTACAAAATCTAAATGGAAATGATCACTAATTAATTAATTAAATCAATATTTTTACAAAGGCCAAGGCCAAATAAGGCTAAGAGTGTTCATTGATGGCTGATTTCTACACTAATAAATACTTTAGACTAGGGTGACCAAATCATGATTTGTAAAAAACGGGAAACTTTCAAAGACTGTTGTTTTGTTGTTTGATTTTTTTGTGGTTTTTTTTTGGGGGGGGGGGGGG